ACTCTATGGGGTCCCGTCTGACCCCGAACCCTCCATGCGACCCCATCCTACCCCTAAACGTCCTTCTATGCCCCCCCCCCCCCCCCCAATAGCCCCTCCATAGAGCCCTATCGTGCCCATAACCCCCCTCCGTGGGACCCCACCTTGCCCCCCGTTATTGCACAGCAGGGACAGAACTGGGGGGTAACCACACACTACGAGGACCACAGAGGTGACCCCTTCCCAGCAGCGGGGGGGAGCAGAGCCGGGGGGGGGGGCGCACCCCCATCTCCCCCCCTAAAACGCTGCAACGACGCCTTCACGTCCTCAAATCCCCCCATCGCCACCCCCTCCTCACCCCAATCCCTATAAACCCAGAGTGGAAAAACTCAAGAGTCATCATCACAGCTGCGCGGCTGCTGCGAAAGCGCCCGGCCCCGCGCTCTGACCCCGTACATCCGCATCATGTGATGCCCTCCATCCTCCCCCCGCATCCCCCCCTTCCTCCTCCTCTTCCTCCTCCTCGTCCCCTTTTTTCTGCACGGAACAGCGCTCTGCTCAGGGTCCTGCTCCTTTTGCATAGGGTTGGGGGTCACACATAGGGTTAGGGTCACCCAGTGGGTTGGGGTCGCCCACGGGGTTGGCACTGATGTCGCATCACCAGCACCCAAACCCCAGTGCCCACCTTCATCCCCCCGCTCACCTAACTTGCAGCTCAGGGGTCTCTTTCTCCATAGCAGAAGAAGATGGGATCTCTTATCTGGGGGTAAAGGGGGGGAGGGGGGGTCCCCTTTGGGGGATTTTTGGGGGGCTGTGGGTTTGTCCCTGGTAATGGGATCTGTGGAGCTGCAGCCTTTTGCTTTTCTTCTCCTTTCGAGCGGGTCATAGGGGGAGGGGGGGGGGCGAAGGAAGCGTGCAGCCCGGTTTCCAGCCGCATGATTTGGCTTTATTTGCTGTAGCAGGTGCTTAATTGTGGCATAAAAAGTTCCTGGCGGCGTTATGGTCAGAAATTCCTAAACGACCCCCCGCCCCTTCACTCCCCCTTCACCCCCCCAACAAGATTCCGTGCAAAAACAAAAGCACAATTGTGACTTCCAGGCAAAACAGGCGGCCGTGCTCCCAACCTCCGCCCCGGCAGGAGGCACCGAATGGGGCCAGCGGGGCTGGGGGGGCCCATGGATGGAGCCCCATGGAGATCACGGGGCTGTGGGGTGTGGGGAGGAGCCCATCTCGCCTCTCTCTGCATCCCCTCCAGCTGTAATTAAAGCTGCTCCCATTTAAGCCTCTTGAACTGATCCCAGTCTGCTCCTCCATCATTGCCGCTGCTCCCCTGCAGACTGCTCTGACCCCACAAGCAGTAGGGCTGACATCACTCCTCTTTCTTTCCCCTATTTCCTCTCCCAGAAGGGACTGAAGAACCCCTCTGGGTTTTTGGGATGTGTGCAGATGCTGCTCCAGCATTGCCTTTCCCCAGAACCCTATGGGCTCTGTAGGGCTGCAGATCAGCATCCCTAAGATGCTATGGGATCTGTAGGGCTGAAAAGCAACACCCCCGTGACCCTATAGGCTCTGTAGGGTTGCAGATCAGCACCCAGGTAACCCTGTGAGCTCTGTAGGGCTGAGGAGCAGCACTCCTAGAACCCTGTGGGCTCTGTATGACTGGGGATCATCATTTGCACAGCGTTGCCAAAGGGCCCAACCACTTCCCTTTGCTGCAGGCAGCACCCAGCCCAGCTCTGCCCTCCTGCAGCACGGTGGCACGCGTTGCACGGGAGCAAAGAGCAAAGCACAGCAGTGGTGCGGGGGGGGGGGGGGGGGGGGGGGGGGCGCGGTACTTACAGGCTGCGTGCCAACGCTGTCATTGTCACCGTGGGGCTGCCCTTCCCTTTGGGGTCCATCTCGTGCTCTCAGCGGCGCCTGCAAGGAGAGGAGAGGAGGGCTGAGTGAAGGCATTCACCTCCTGCACGCTGCCACCCCCCACACCGAGGCTGGAAACCACGGCGTGGTGACATGGCCAAGGAGGGGGATGCTGTGGGGAGGGGGGTCTCTCACCCAAAGCATCTCCGCTGCCTCCCCTACATCCCAACACCCCGAGCAAAGCCGAGCCGTGGCCAAGGAGTGCAGGGCTGAGCTTCCCCTGGGCAGAGGTGGGGTGAGGCTGAGCTTTGCTCCTGGCACATGGAGCAGGAAACGCTGCTGTGCTGCCAGATTGGAATCGCTGTTGGAATCAGCCCTGCTCACAGAGCCTCAGCCCTGCAGCTTGTGGCTACAGGGCTCTGCTTATCCAAAGGGAATGCCCCAAGGATTTCCAGCCCTGTGCACACCCCTCGTTGGCCAGGGGAAAGGCCTAAAATGAGCAAAAAGAGCATTTCTGCAAACTGCATCCCCTGTCCCACCAAGCTGGGGCTTCCCCAGAATTAATTCCCTATGTCCAAACCGTGGGGTCCATCTGCATCCCATCTCCCAGCCACACCATACTCCATGGCTTGGGGCTCATCCCACCTCGATACTGCAGGATTTCAGGGCTTCACCACGTGGTTTATAAATATTTAAGCCCAGAAGGATTGCTGCCCTCCAGGGAAAGCCTTACACAACCCCCACATCTCCCTCCTCACCCCAGCCTGGAGCTGGCAGGGCTCTCTGGAGGCATCTTTTGCAACCAGGAAGCAAAGCAAGGCAACATGCAAGGTCCTTCTGCAGGACTTTTGCACCCCGTAGTGGTGGGGCATTGTCTGATGGGTTTGGTGCTGCTGCACGGATTTTGCATCCCGTAGCTGGGAGGTTTTGTTGATGCGCACGTCGTGCTGCCTCCCCCCTGCCCCAAATTTGTGGGCATTTATAGGCACAGCTTTTTGTGCAGCACTCAGTTCCTCCCCCCCCCCCAGCATTAGGAGTCACTGACGCCTCGTGCAGAAGCTGTTAAGAGCTTCTATTTGGGGAAAGCTCCCCTTCTCACAGCACGTCCTGTGGCTTCTCTGCTTCCCATTCCTCCTCACAGTGCAAAATAAATCGGCGACGTCTCCAGCGAAACACCCCCCAGTGAACAACCTTGGGGAGTCCATTCTTGGGGTGCATTTGGGGGTGTTGCTGTGGTTGGCAGGGGTTGAAACCCTGCAAGAAGGGTTCCCATGCCCCGTCCCGAATCTGCTGCATCAACTCATGTTGGTTACATCCCAAACGCACCCCCAGGAGCGTGGCTCAGGGCATGGGGGGGCTGCAGATTTCCATATTAAAAACAAATAGAAGAAAATCAGAAAGGAAGGAGCCTGTTCCTAAGCAACAGCCTCCGGTAGAGATGGAGACCATGAGGTGGAGACCGTGAGATGGAGACCGTGAGATGGAGACTGTGAGATGGAGACCATGGAATGGAGATCGTGAGGAGGAGATGATAGGATGGAGACATAAAATTGAGACCATGAGGTGGAGATCGTGAGATGGAGACCATAGGATGCAGATTATGAGATGGGGATCATGAGATGGAGTCCAGAGAATGGAAACCATGTGATGGAGAGAGATGGAGACCATAGGATGGAGAGCATAAAATGGAGACCCTCAGATGGACACCGAAAGGTGGAGGCCATAAAAAGGAGACCGTGAGATGGGGACCATAGAATGGAGACCATAGGATGAGGAGCAGAGGTGCCACAAAGCACCAGTGGAGCAAACTCCTGGGGTCACAGAGCCCCACAGCAGGGATGCAGGAGAGTGGGGAGACTCCAATCCCACCCCTCACCTCCACCGCTCGCCCCAGCCCACCCACCCATCTCCAACCCCGCTGTGCCGACCCCAAAGAATGGAGGAAACCCATTGGGTCGGCCGAGACTCGTCGCCTCTATTGGAGCCAAGCTTGGATGGACAGGCAGATGGATGGGTGGGTGGACAGATAGTTGGAAGGACAGACGGACGGGCGGCAGTTACCTGTGTGTATCCAGGCGCTGGTGGCTGTGCCCCGGCTCTCCCAGCAGCGCGCTGCCCCGTCGCGATAGGGATCATTTTTATAGGCTCACCCATGTGATCCCAACCAATGCCCCAGGGATGAGGTTTTTTTTTTTGCACTGACACAACCGGAGGGGCCGGCGCTCAAACAAACCTGTTGGACCGCAATCCGCGCTCGGCACCGGGCAGGAATTTTCCACTCTCTGGGTGCGCCGATGCACGATGCACGCCGGGGCCTGCGCTTGCACGGCTCCCTGAAAGAAAAAGCAGGGAGAAAAGTGCAAACTTTCCCATTCCCCAACACTCCTAATGGTTGCTCGACCTCATTCCTAAGTTTCTGTGTTGAGGTTGGAGCGCGTAGGGAGAGAAATGCATGGAGGAATGCGTTAGAGGCATGGAGTAGACACAAGTTTTGCACTGTGTGCCTTCTCTGCACAGTGCAGAATGCTCCTTCTGCAAAGTGCATGCTGCTTCTGCAAACACAGCACAGCAGATGGTGCTCAGAGCGAGAGATGTGAGCAACCCTTTGCTCCCCCCAAGCTCTCCCTGCAGCCTTTGTGCCCAAATCCAAGGGTGTGGATGGGGGCGATGGTGGGGACGCTCTCGGTGGTGTTGATGGTGCGGCGCTGGGCAGAAGGGAGGCATGGACCTGGCTGGGCTGTGATAAGTGCCCAAGGGTGACAGGATGGGAATGGAAAGGGTGAGCTTGGGAGAAGCGCTGGTGAGTCAATGGGAACCACAGGAGCGGGGAAATGACCGCAGTCAGCAGGGCTGAGTCAGTGGGACCAACTGGTGAGTCAATGGGAAAGCAGGGAGCTAATGGAGCGATGGGCTGCAGGTTGTGTGGGGCACACAGATGGGCACGAGGAGGGGATAGGGGTGACCCGCCGTGGAGTTTTGCACTCCTGGAGCACTGCTGGGTCGCTGAGCCCTGCGTGGGGCTGGATAATGTGCCATCTGTAGGGTTTGCTCGTGTTCCAGCTGTTCTGGGGTTGGTTCTGTGGGGTTCCAGCCTCTGCAGGCTGCCCCAGGTGGTGCTGTGCTGGCACAGCCCTGGGGTCGGTGCTGCCAAGGGGCCGGGCAGCGGGGCTGGGGCTGCGCCAGGCTCTGGGAGCAGACACACAGCGGGACACAGAGCGGTAGGTGGGAGGGCAGGGGGGTTTGGGGGGCTTTCCCTGGTGTGTTGGAGGGCAGCTGCAGGGGTTCTGTGCACCCTGATAGCAGTGCATTGGGGTCACCGTGTGGTCATGGTGCTGAGTGCCTGGTGCTGTGCTGGAAGGGGTTGGGGTGGGCTCACAGCAGCACCCGTCGGGTCCAGCAGCGTGGATTTGGGTGGGGGTGGCAGCAGGTTTGGGGGCTGTCTGCTGAGAAGGGAGCAAACGGCTGGGAAGGGGGGAGCTGGGAAGAGCAGGGGGGCTCTCAGCAGGATTGTGGGTACCCAGCACTGGTTCTGGGGACGTCCTGGAGCATTTCCTTAAGGAAGACCCATAGCTGTGCCCATCAAACCAGCGTGAACCCCAGTGGCAGCCAAGTTAAAGCTGCCAGGGGAAGGGTTGAGCCAATTTGGTGCAGTTTGAGTCTATTGATGCAAGGGTTAATGGTGTCTCTGCTGGGGGGTTGGGACCCCTGTGACTTATCTGCTCACAGACAAGGAGGGGACGGCTTGCACCCCACATCCGGGCTGTGCTCCCCTTCTCTTTGGGCCGCAGAGAGCAAACGAGCTGGGGGGCTGAAGAGCTGCACACAGCTGAATCTGAAATGGGGATATTTATAGCCGTCCCTGCCTGGCTGCCCTAAATTCCATGCAGGTCCCTGTGCATTGGGAGCAGAGGGGCCCCCCCAGCCCTGAGACATTTGTAGGGTTCCCTCCCCCACCCTGGCTGAATCAGGGCTGCTCCTTCCTCACCCCGTCACCCCTCAGCCTCAGGGCTTTCCCACGAGCGTCACCCAGCAGCGCTGCGTGTTTGGGTTCACTGTCATCCCTTCAGGGCTGTAATCAGCATTAGGGCACCCACGAGGCATCAGGACACACCTCCCCCTTCCTGCAAAGGTGCAGCAGCAAAGAGAAGCGCGGGGAGGGCAGAGGGGTGAAAACACTCAGCTGGGGACAGGTGACACCTCGGTGGCCCACGCAAAGTCCCATAGGAGTGTGGGTGGGAGCCACACCTGAGGCTTGCACAATGCATATATATATATCGTGCTGGCGTGCTGCTTAAAGCAGCAATTTTCCCTTCATCCTGAGTGCAAAAGGCTGAGCCTGAAGCCGTGGGTGGGTTGCAGCAGAACGGAGCGTGCAAGCGGTGGTGCAAGCTGGTTGCACGAGGATCCACGCTGCTGGTGCAGCTGCAGAGCTGCTGGTGCAGGGGAACGAGCTCCTGCCTTGCGACTGCCAAATGCATGCACTTAATATAGGTCAAATGCAAACGTTCTTCCCGAAATAGAAGCTCTCTTCCCTGGGAAGAACTGCAGCTCAGTGCAGTCACAAGGGCTCTGCCAGGTGCTGCAAAGGGAGCTGGTGTGCAAGCGTGGGGCTGCTGCCACCAAGGTCACCTCCTCCTGCAAACATGGCTGTGCGTAGTGCATCTTCCCCGAAATGTGCTTTGGCTACTGGAGAGGAGCTTGGGGATGGGGTGAGGGATGGGGTGAGCACACTTGTGCTCTGGATGGGGTGGAGAGATGGGTGACCCCCTCCTCAAGCCACGCATCTTGCTTGCAAAACCCACTGTGAAAGCAGTGCTGGCTTGTGCATCACACAAGTGGGCCGGGATGAGCGGCCCTGCATGGGCTTGGAGCAGCGTGGGGTGCTGCAGGGTGCAACGTGCTCCTGTTGCAGAGCTGAGGCCCCCACAGGGCTGCGCCTCCATGGGCTGATGCCAGGCTGGGGGCTGCACCCCCCCGGCTGTGCTCCTGTGCTGCTCTGCTGAAGCAGAAGTGCTGCTGTGGGTGTGCGCTGCTGCTCGGTTCGCACTGCGCTGTGCCCTCTTGGGATGCACAGAGCTCAGCAAACTGCTTCAGAGCACAGAAAGCGACCTCACAGCATTGTGTGTCCACCCTGTGATCCCAGAAAGGTTCCTGTGAAGGCTGCAGTGACCCAAACCATGGGTTCAGCTGTTGAACTCGCTCAGGGGAGGTGTTCTACCATCAGAAACCTTAAACCCTCCCAACCCTTACATGGAGCTTTTGTGCTGCGCACATAGCACTGCAAGTGGGTTGGTGGCAGCAAAGTGGGGCAGCCCTATGGCCACGCCTGTGGGGCTGGAAATGGGGCTGGAAGTGCGGCTGGAAATGGGGTGTTGGCTGTGGGTAGGCCTTAGGAAGAGAGAGAAAACCTGCAGTGTGGGCAAGGCACAGCAGAGGTGCTCTGGGGGCCAGGATGTGGCTTTCTGCTTCCTGTGATTGCCATGAAAAGGGCTGAGAAAGGATCTTCCTGCACAGTGGAGGGGATTTCCCCAGTTTTCCCTAGCACTGCCACCTCCATGCAGTCCCCCTGAGCAGCAGAACCAATGCATTTCTGACTGTAGGAATTGGAGCTGCTCCCAGGGCAGCGCTAAATGAGTGTCAGCAACGTCCTCCGTGGGGAAACCGAGGCAGAAATCCAGCCCAGCTCTTCCTGCAGCAGCTGAGTTGCATTAGGTGAAGTGCTGAAAAGCTTGCTGCATGTGCAAGGAGCACCACTCACTGCGCACCACACAGCGCCCTTGGCACAAGCATCAGAGCAAACCTCAGGGAGAAAGGGCTTCCATCAGCGCCACTGCATGGGACGGAGCGGCCGCGGGGTGCGGGCAGTGGGTGCAGCGCAGGGAGCCTCGTGCCGGCAGCTTCCCAGCAGCAGGAAGGACGGCATTCCTGGCACCCTGCGCTGCTGAGTCAGGAGCTGCAACGTGCCGCACGCACGCATCCTGCTGCTGTGCTCGGGGCCCGGCCCGGCGCGTGCTTTCCCACGGAGGAGGATGTTCTGAGGGGTGGCAGAGTGGTACGAACTGCCGGCACGTGTTTGGCTCCTCGCTGCCGGGGCCCGGAGGCTCTGCAAGCCCTCTGCTGGCCCTGCGGTCTCGTGGGAGATGCTCTGACACCGTGGTGTCCCCGTGTGTTTTATTGCCTGCTGACATCGGGCTGTTCCGTGGGGGCTTCCTGCTGGCTCTGCAGCTCCCGAGCTGGAGAAATAGGATCTCTGTAATTACTCTGCAAATAGCTTTGGAGAGGGAGAGCCGCGTTTATCTGCTGTGAGAGGTTGCTGCTCCCTGGGGTGTTCTTGCAGAGCGTCCCTGGAGAGCGCTTTGCTCCTCAGCGATCAGCAAACCCTTTTCTGCTGATGCTGCTCTGCTCTGAGGCTCCAGGCTGGACTCTCTGCCCCCCGGCTGATGAGTGCCCTTATGGATGCCCCTATCCGGGCTGCTCGGGGTGCATCCTGCCCACTTTGTGCTGGGTTTCCCCATGGAACTGCTGCAGGACCGACCAGGTTGCGATGAAGCAGCACTGCTCCTCGTTCCTCGAGTGCTGATTTTATGGTTCTCCAGATGAAATACCAAAATCTGATGCTTTGCCATAGTGAATCTTCCTTCCAAGCGAAGCTCTTTGTAACCCATGTCTGTGCCTGCAGCAATCCAGGACAGAGCTGCAGAGCAGATGTTTTTTCTGCTTTCCTCTTACAGCTATTAGCCCCCAAAGCTCCGGGTCGTTCCCCATCCATTACTGCTTCTAATTAGTTGAGCCCGGTGCTTTTTATCTGTCCATAATGATGGTGGTGCTGTACTTGTGCTCGCTCTGCATGCAGCCGCTCCATTATGTAACGACTGTGCTGTAATCCCCGCTCCCAACTGACAGTGGGTTCGTATTTGTTTTGCCTCATCCTAAATGATTTGGGTGATGGGGAAAGTTGGGTCACATCCTTTTCATTGGGCCGGGGAGAGCTTGGGGATTTGGGGCCAGGTGAGGTGATGTGGGTACAGCCGTCGTGGGGTTGGGGGGATGGAACCCACTGCTGGTTTCTGTGATGCTTTGGGGGTCTTTATGGGATGAGCTGCTCCTTCCTATGCTGTCACACCCCCAGTTCCAACCCCAGCATCCCTCCCATCTCCACGGTAACCACAGAGCTGCTGCTCCATCCTTTGTGCCCACGGGTGAGTGCTGAGCTGTGGGGTCTTTGGGGACGCTGTGGGGCTATGGGGAGGGCTGTGGGGTACAGACCCTCTAACCTGGCCCTCCCCAGGCTCAGGGCTGGGCCACGGCCAAGCCTTTTTGTAAGAAGGGCACCGGGGCTCTGTTCCTTCCCTGTGACACAGTGGTGGCAGCCTCCAGGTGAAGGTGACAGTGGGTTCCTGAGCACGGGGTCCCCAGCGGCGCAATCTGTGCTGGACATCACTGATGTGGAATTGGTAGAAATCAGGAAAATAGCTCAGAGGGGAGCAAGGGGGGACTGAGCTGAGCCGCAGCGTGGTGCCACGTCCTGGTGGGACCTGCTGACCAGGTCCTTTGTTTGCTCAGGGCAGCATGAGGCTGCTGGCTGCGGTGCTGCTGGCTGCTCTCCTGCCGGGGTTCTCTGCCCCCCAGATGCTGTGGCCGGATGAACCCTCACACATCTGCTCCTTCCAGAGCCTCAGCGGCAAGGACAGCGAGTTCTGCAGGTGAGCAATCAATCCCCTTCCAAAGCTCCTCCCCCAGCCCATGGGGCGGCCATTTCCAGCATCCTCCCCCCCACGGCTACCAATACCCATTGCTGTCCTCCCCACTGGCAGGAATCTGCTTGCACGAGATGTGCAATCCCTTGCTTTGGGGGTTTCTGAGTTACGTACCTCCTTATTGCTGCCTTCAAAACGCTTCTGGGATGGGATGTGACTGATATAGAAGGTTGTGGATGAGTGCAAGCAGAGTGGAAGCACCTTGCTTTGAATTCCTGGCCTCTGTAGGGTCAGCCCCAAGCTGCTTGGCAGCCCTTGGGGTTGCAGATTCTAGAGCCCCTCCTGCCAGGGCCTCAAGGCACTCTGTTCCTGTGCTGTGTGGGAAGGGGAAATTGTTCCAAGTCTAAGCTGGGGGTATCTGACCCGTTATTGCGCTGTCTGTACCCAAAATCCACCCGAAGCTCAGCTCTGCTTATGTATCACGGGAAGGAGAAGCAGCTCAGAGCCCAGTGGGGAGCAGGGATGGCTTTGCTCCCTGCCTTCAGTCTTTGAGTTCAGCCATATGGGCCACGATTTTAAGGCTTTGGAAGCTCTTGGAAACAACCTGAGCCATCCTGAGTGTTCAAAGCTCAATTATTGCTGCTTGGGGGGGATGAGGAAAGGAGGCAAACCCCTTGCTTAGAGCATGGGAGGCTGCACAGCAAGCTGTCCGTGGTGACAGGTTGCAACCCAGACCTCCTGCCTCTTGCTGACCCAAACCCACCCCCTGCACAGCGTGGTGCCACCCGACCCATTCTTTCCCCTTTTTCTCTCCCCAGAGGCAACTTAGAAGTCATCTACCCAGAGCTGGGCGATGTGGGCTGCACCTACATCCCCACTTGCCACCAGTCCCGTTGGCGCATCAGCAGGGAGTGGGGCAGCCCCCAGGTCCTCTACCCTCAGGCCAAAAAGGTGAGTGCTGCGTGGGTCCTGCCACTGCTCCCCTGTAATGCTATCATTGCTCAGGTTGTGCTTGCTGCTTCTTATTACTAATATTTTTCATGAAATTGGGATGATTCGATGCTTATTCCCACTCTTCTACATTGCTTTGGGGTGGCAAACCCGCTCTGTTTTATTGATGGCAGCAGAGAAAAAGCAGTAAATACACAAACATTTTCGAGCTTTTTGAACGCAGAGGCAGCTCTGGTTGGGTGTTTCCATTCCCGCACAGCCGGGTTAAGGAGCGCAGCGCGAGCTGGGGCCGATGCTGGCGGCGGCGCGTCCCGACGGGGCTGAGGGAGCGCTGCCGTTGCGTTCGAGCGATGCCAGCAGATGGCAGCATTGAACTTCGAGCTGTGTGCCGGTGGGGTGGGCACCCCTGGGCGCTGCACCCCGCGCCGGGAGGGCAGCACTGCCCGACTCTGCGTGCTACGATAGGACTGCCTGCTTGGGGTCGCCCCCTTGGGGTGGCAGCCTGAGGGTTGGTGGCGCCGTCTTGCTGAGGTTCATCCCCGAGTTGGTGTCCCAGCGCGCTCTGTTGGCATCCCGACAGCTGCTCCGACAGCTGCAGGGGATACGGAACTCGCTGAGCATCTCAAAGTGACAGGAATCAGTTCTTCCATCTGCTTTGTCGGCATCCAAGGAGTCTCTTCCCAAAGTCGATTGCATGGAATGGAGCGTAACTTTGTCTTAAGGATGTCTGCTTATTCAAAGAAAATAAAAATGGAAAGAAAGGAAGAAAGAAAGGAAGGAAGAAAGAGGCCCAGAGCTGGCAGAGGATGCTGTGCACAGAGCCACCCACTGCTGTGTGCTGCCGTGCGAGAGCTGGGAGCTCGATCCCTTCCAAGCGCATTGCATTCGGGTGTCATCTGAGGACACAGCCCCTGCTTCTTCCTTGGCTTTGCTTTCATTCTGCCTCCCCCCAGCCCAACGCAGCCCCAGCTCGGTGTGTTTCGCACCGTGGAGATGCAATTAACAGGGGGTTAATTTGGGGTGAGGGGTTGGGTGGCGTTGCATCGTCTCCCACACATCAATGCTGAAAAGCTTTGGGTGAAACGCTTCAGTGTTTCTCTATGAGAACACAAATATTGACCACCGAAATGTTTTCCCTGCTCCCGGCGCTGTGAAGGCGCCCCTTCCTTCAAACCACCTCCAGCATTTATCTTTTCCCCCCAAAATTCCACCCAGAAATGGGCAGAACTGAGGCACGACTCCACCACGCTGAATCCACGGCACACGCAGGAGCGTTTTGCTTTTTGTGCCTACGGTGGGATTTCTAAGGCCAGGAAACTCGATTGATTTTTTCATTTATTAAAGTTACAAGGAAGGGAAACCTCGCTTTGCGCGTGGTGTCGCTCAGCACTGCGGGTCCTGATGGGCACTGGATGGCTGTAACGGGATGGCTGCGCTCGTTTGCTCGTTCCATCAAAATTAGCAGCAGAAAAGCTGGGTTTGGGGTATGAGAACTCGCGTAGGAAGTGTCTGCTTCCCTCGGAACGCTTTGTTTTGTCAAGAAAAACAACCACAAGAATGATCCCCCTGCAGAGCGTGTTTGTGTTTTCTGATGGGGACGGCAGGACGTGGCCCATCCTTACTCTGAGTCGCCTCTCGCCGCGCTCATCTCCGTGCTCAGAGGCTCAACCGCTCTGCATCGGGCCTGCAGTGGGTGCTGAGGGCGCTCACCCGGTGCAGTGAGCAAAGCAGTGAGCATCAGCCTTGTTGCTCCGTCCCACGCAGCTGGGCTGAGTGCTGGCCGTGGTTACGAAGCGCCTGCTGGCTGGGGGGCGGCGCGTCCCAAAGCCCAACATCTGGAGAGATGGGAAACGCGCCCTCCTCGTCCCGCCTCAATATTGCTTCGCTCAACCAAAAAGTAAATTGGAAAAGAAAATTGGACATCGCACCAATTTGGGGGCAGGTTTATAAATTCTGCAGCTAAGCAATCCCGATAGAAGATGATAGATGGCCGCGGAGCGCGCGGCCCCGGCCGTGATGTATGGCCGCATTAACCAGAACGCCGCCTTACATGATGCTCTTTTATTACCACTCTTGGTGGCAGACAGAAAAACAGATTACACTTGAGATCAAATCGATAGGAACTTTATTTACTGGCCTTTTAAAAACATATTTCTGCACTTTATAAAAACATACGGTAGCTGCTATTGATAGAAGTTGTCTGCTTGTTAAAAAGCAATTTTCCCGCGGCGATGCTCGCAGGTTGCCTTTTTACTGCGCTACCTGTTACCTGCTCGTCCTGATCTGCGCTCGCTGCCGTGGTTGATGACTTCCTCAGGGTTATTCGGGGCTTGGTGTGGGGAAGGGCAGGGCAGCATCCTGCTGGAAGAGCGGCGATGGAAATGGAGTTGGGCACAACTTCACGGTTGGGAGTGATGGTCTGGGTTCGCTCAGGTTGGATATTAGGATGGTGTCCTGTGGAAGAGTGGTGGGACTTCGGCATGGGGTGTCCAGAGAGGTGGTGGGGTCACCATCGGGAGCTGTGGGACGTGGCACTGAGGGTCGTGGTGAATGGGGATGGGTTGGGCTTGGGATCTACAGTTTCCAACCCTAATGATCCTATGAACTCTTCCCCCATCGGTCAACCAAATGCACTTTGCTGGATTATGGAGGCTCTCAGCGTCGTTGCTTTTGGCCATCTTAGAAATGAAAAGCTTTCCTCGTGGTTCCTACTCCAACAGAGCTTCTGAAACTTGACTTTTTTGCAACAACCCTCTTCCCCCCCAGCCTGTCCCATCAGCCTTGCACGTCTGCAAACTTTCTGCAGGCAAAGCTGCGACCCAAGAGACCTCCTAGAACTGTGCACTTCCATCGTATCCTATGCGTTCAAAACCCCTTCCATAGCAGGACGAGTTGGAAGCCGTGCAAAGGGCGATGTGCACACAGCAGAACTCCTTGCACAGAGCTGTGCTGCTCTGGGACCGGAGCTGCAGCCACGTCCCTTTCTGCCCCCCTCCTCCTTTTGTGAACATCTGGAGACAGCTCTGCTTTTAAAAGATTTCTGTGCTCTAGGGTCCGCAGCCCATTATTTGGAAAATTACTTCTATGGGTCAATTCATTAGCGTCTAACAAAGGGAGGAGAGGATCTGCTCAATCTCTTGGTGGGGCCGTGCTCCAGTTGTGTCAAGCAGTGATTTGCAGCTGGCCGGGCGAGGGGCTGCGGAGCGGCACTCAGGTTCCGTTCAACTCTCATTAAAGGAGACGTTTTTAAGCAGAATTTTTCTTGACAGTCTGTGCATCCTCGCTGGCTCGTGGCACCATCTGGGGTTGAGGAGCCACCAGCGTTTTTCTCTCCATCCTGTCCTGGCTACTTAAAAAACAACAACAATGGGCTCGCATTCCTTCCCCACGCTGTCAGCCAGATATTATGGGATTGCCCAAGCCCTCGGAGCCAAACCCTCCCTCCTGCCCTGCTTTGGGTTCCCATGCCCCGCGACGGCGCCTGAGCATCCCATCACCCCGACTTCAGAGGGCTGTGCTGCGGTGGGGCAAAGCCCGCGAGCAAGCAGAGTGCCTCTCGGAGCTGGAGGAAAAGCAGAACCGTGTGTTGCTCCACGCTGTCCTCCGCTGACCCGAGCTGCAGATTGCAGGTTGAGGATGCAAGCCCTGCTGTGCCTCCCTGAGCAAAACGCGGCTCTCCTTCCTCTGTGTTCTGTGGGGTTCTTCAATGGGGCACCTTGGTGTAAAGGATGGGTCGGTGCTCAGCACCCGGCCCCACCGTGGGGGACAGCTGGTGCCGTGCCACGAGTGTCTCCCCATGAGTGATCCTGGCAGAAACGTCGCTTTGCATCTGGTTCATTACCTACACGTTTGCTGGACGTTCATCCGCCCCGGCCAAACAGAGATGGCAACAACCTCCAGGTCATCACATCCACGTTCCTCATTGCTTATGTGTTGGCATCCCTGCGTGTCCAGGACGGACGCTTGTGCCTGTTTCAGCTGCAAAATGTTTGAAGCAGCCAATGATTTTACTTTGATCCCCGTAAACACTATACAGTAATCAAAGTTTAAGCCGCTTTGGATGAAATAATTGCTTAACAATCATATAAGACAAAGTGATTCAACAAATGACAATTAGGACTTGTGATATACAGAACAGATGCATTCAGTGTACCATATTATAATGTGCTAATACAAGATTGACAGCACAATAATAGGAGAGAACAGCCACTCAGCCTATAATTCTAAACCAAATGTGAGGCTGTCCACAGAGCTCAAATCCTAGCAGGCTGTACAATTAGAGGTAAGAAGGCACAAGGTTCACAAAGACTCATTAGCAGGTTGGCTGCGAAATTTCCGAGGGGGGAAGCTCCCAGGGCAGCGTCGCGCTGTGGGCTGCAGGGAGGAGGGGGCTCGAGGTGATGGGGCAGGGGCTGGGTGCATCGTGTGGGGCTGCGATGGTCTCTGCTCTGATTTTGGTGGTGTTGAGTCCGGTTGGGGACCCGGCTCCATCAGATGCTGTCACAGCACAGTGTGGGTGCACGAAGGAGACAACGGCGTTGGGGACTGGATGAAATGAAGGCTGATATGAGCACGGAGCGCTGATTGGCATCCCCTATAGGAGTTGGGTGCTTCCCAAGCCCTAAATGATACTGATGGGTGACAGGGGCACCCTTTGGCCCTGTCTCTGGTGATTAAGGCGCCCGCTCTTCTCTTTGGGTGAACGGAGCGATGGGGACACGTGCGTGTCAATCTGCACAGGGGGGAAATGCCACTGCAGCCCATGGCCAAGCGACACGGAGCCACAGAGATCAGCGCGCGTGTTTTCAGCGCCGGTGACAAAACCCACTTCGTCTCCTCGTGTGCTTTCCACACGCCGGGCCCGCTTATCCTGCTAAACACACAATTTTGTCATATTTTATTATTAAATAAACATGCCAGAAAATAGACTTTTTGCATGGGGGAGGACGGAAAGGTTTGGTAATTAAAACTTCCATCCATCCGTGCTCAGCTCCGGGAGA